AATTTTCATTCAAACCATTCAGGAATACTATAAGAGTTGCTCCTAAATACCGCCAAAACAAGAAATAAAAGACAAAAACCATTAAATGTCTTTCCCACCAACTTCTAAGCAGGAAAGAAACAGCTGTTTTGACAGAGCAGTGGAGAGAAGCTCATGAAAATCAGCTTCAGGAAATGCTTATAAGAGCAAAGGTCTCTCCTGAGTTACTTTAGATAGAGGCACAACCACAATAATCAGCATTTGACAAAAAAACACCAAAAGAAGAAAAACCACAAAGTTCTAACTAACAAGTGATGAGAATACTAAGCTAGCAGCAGGGAGTTTCCTTTTGCTAGTACACTGGCCTATAAGAAGACAGAGAAGTACTGTGCTCCCAATCAAAATCAGGGGAGAGGCTTTTATTATGGCACAGTTATTGCAAGACCTTAGTCAATGGAGAACTTGAATCTGATTGTCTATGTAGGAATGGAAGTTCAGTGAAAAAGTACTACCTGTTGAGGACAGTGTGCTGGCCTTTACCCAGGAGACTGCTACAAGCATTGCATCTCTTCAGTGATACTGAGAGCTCCCAGGAGAGCAGACAGGCATTTTACATCTCACTGTGTTTATTGCAAGAAAGAAAAGGAGAGCAAGTAGTTACAAGCTGCAGAAACAGACCTTTTTTTTTTTTTTTTCCAGACTATGACCAAAATATTACAAGTTCCTCAGCAGTTCTCAAAGTCTGCACTCTTTATTCAAAGCATCATCTGACCAGATTAAGATTTCATAGGCTTTGTAACTTACATCACAGATGATGGAAAACATTCAGAAAAAAAAGAAAAATTTTAACAGATGACAATAATCAATTTCCTGCTGTGGATTACTTGTTTTTATTCCCAATCACAGTTCACTGTCTTTTACAAAACAGGCTGTTTAGCTTTTCAGTGTAGCCTTGTTCTTCTTCTAAGACATTGTTTTCAGACTGTTTTTTTTTTTAAATTGCCTTTATTGTATCCAATGCTGAAAACAAACTGAAGAAAAATGACAAATTTATTCAATAAAAATATAAGCAGATATACTGCAAATAAAGCACGTGCTTGGGAAATAGAAATATGTGTTAGAGCTTGTGTACAGCTTAGGGCAAAACCAATCTATTTTGCAACTTAAAATACCCAAGATGCAACTAATGTAAGATACAAATGGAACAGCCTATTATTTCCTGTAAAATAAAATGAACTAAAACAGACTAGGAGGCCATAAACTAGTTATTTAAAAAGCTAAATGGCAAAGCAGATATTTTACTAGAATTTCTATCCCAGTGCACTGTAAACATTCATACTGTATTTGTTCTGATACCAAAGTACAGTAAGAGGTTGTTTTATGCAAGGTTAAGTATACTACCTTCCATTTTTATTCAAATATGGCTCCATATTAGAGGGATCCAATAACATTTTCTGTAGTATTGTTGCTCCATTAGGCTGATCCCATATGCAACTGCAGTGTTTTGGGAGTAGGTTTCAACTCTATTGTTCATACCTAATGCAAAAGCTCAAATATGTGAATTAAATGCACTTTCTCATTTTTCAATGAGACCCCCATCGAATGTCTTACTGCTTTCTTCATTGCTTTGGGCACTTGTCCACAACTTTTGCCTGTAAATGATTTGTCATCTGTGAACTACAAACTGTAGCTTTTCTCAAGTTCCCAAAAAGAGCTAAGGAGTAGACATGCTCTTTCATGACAAGCAGGCAAACTCTGACACAGGCACCAAAACCAACCCTGCTAAGGGGATTCTGTGTCTTTGTGAGGCCCAACATCCCCCTTTGGTTTCCTTCCAAGTTGGATATTTAGCATAATATAAAATACTGTTTGTTTCTGCTCAGGAGGAAATTTTATTTCTTCTCTATAGAACATCAGGCTACAGTAACTCACAAATTGTCCTTTTGCTAATCTGGAAACTCACAGGTAATTTGACATGGAACTGAACCCAAAGATACACAGGCTCCGAGGCAGAACACAGCTGCTTGCTCTGGAAGCTCCTCTAAAAACATCAAAGCCACAATCAGTCCTTTCAACTGAGTCTCTTAGTTTCTGAGGCCAGTTTAAGACCTGGATTCTATATCTTATCATGAAGCAGAAAAATCAGACTTGATCTGCCTCAAGGCCTGATCTGTATCAGCAAACCTCCTCTACGAAAGAATTTCTACCCTAGGAGATACTCGCAGAATGAACATCTCCTTGTAGTCCCTGTTACAAGGTGTGGAACCAGCTGCTTCTGGATAAGGGTCCTGCTGTGCCCCTGGAAAGGGAAAATGCCAGAAGACTTAAGGCATCCCATGTGTCACAGGTTTGCTTTTCAGGTGTAACAAAACCACCTGATCAGTGGCTGGGGCAATGTAAAACTGCAATGAAAATTTTGTAATCACTGCAGGTACACCTGATTTTTCTCTGCATCTGGAAAAAGATGGGCAGAAATTTGCATTCTTGGGCTAGATAATATGCTGTGGTAAATGTGCTAACACTGATTCACAGGAGCTGAGGATCTGCTGCAACATTTTATACCCTAAGAAAAGTCTCTTATTTTGATTTCCCAATCTAATATGTGTGGAGGTTGCAAATACTTTATATTGGCATTATTGTTTGAGAGTCTTTTTCAGTTCTCCTTTTTAGAAAGATCAAATCATCTTCCTCGATATTCTGTGCACTTAAATAGAAAATTACCACTTACCTAGGAGCTTGCTTACAGATTCACTTACAGAAACTTACAGATTGAAGCAATTTAGTTTAATTTCCACAAGTTTAATACAGTACCCTCAACATTCCAGCACAGCAATGCTTCTGATAACCTGATTAGTAAAACTGTATATGCATTTATAGAAATGTGAAAGTTACACTAAGATCTATATTCTTGAAGTCTCATTGCTTTCCTTTCTCATTACTGAATAAAACAAATCCGGGATATTGTACTTAATTATGGGAAAGAGGTATCAGACTACTTTTATTTTAACTGTATTAAAAATGTTGGTAACTACTCTAGGTGCAATAGCCTAAAAGCCTAGCTTAGCTCATAAACCCAGAAGATGTATGAAAACACACTTCCCCTGAAAAGGAATTTTTACAACTGTGTATTTACAAGGAGTTCACAAAACTAGCAATGCATTCATTTTTCAGATGAAGTATCCATAGCCTGTAGAATAATTCAAACAGGTGCTAATTAGGTGTACAGAAAGGCCACTGAGAATAACTTATATGTCCCCCTGCAACAGAAAAAAACCCTGAATAAATGTTAATTGCTTATATTATGCAACGAATTATTTTAAGATGGCACTAAATTAGCTGCAAATATAATTACAAAGTACTGGGTAATTTACTAAAGATTAATTGAAATGATTAAGTGCAAAGAGCATAATTTTGCAAGGTAGTATTAATATTTTGTGCACAGAAAAAAAAAGACCAACGTGGTTTATTCTCTATTTATTACAATCTCTTGGCTAGTATTTATTTTTTGGTGGCTTAATATTTAATACAATTCAATTGTAGTTATCTAGAGAGTGACAGTGGAAACAAGAAGAGAATTCAGTATTGGGAATAATTCTAGACTTCTGAGGAAATGGGAAGAAGACCTTGTTGTGTTCTTTTTGACTAGCACATGTCTGAGCAATAATGACATTGACTCTAAGATGTTTCAGTTTTCATTAACACACAGGCCATATGCCATTCCAAGAAGCACTAGAGCAGTGAAATGCTATAAAATGAAAATAAATGCCTCAGATGTTTGGCCAGTCGTAACACTAAGCACTTATGGTGCTGTGATGCTCAATGTGCAGGACAGAGAATGTGTCCTACTTCTACAGAGTTGAGTCTACCCATGTCCAGAGACATGGGGAAAACATCTCTATCAATTGATTCCCACTTAAAAAAAATGGGTAGACTACTTATTGATTTTCAATAAAAGGTTGAAATCCCACTGACACCATGCGAGTTAGGAAATTTCAACTGTAATTTCAGCTTAAACCTCAAATTTTGTTTATTGTGAAGAGTCCAATTCAGGAACATAGGAACTTTCTGGATTTTTGTCCTACTCAGTATCTTACTTCAATATGTGTTTCATCCCCTTTCACTTGAACACATCTTGCTTGACACTAATAGTGTGCAATACTGAATAAGAATAGCTCAGCAAACCTGGGCAAAAAGGCTCAATTACCATTAAAATCAAGTCTGTGCACAACATCCATTAGGACAATACTGAGAAGACTCATACAGGATTAGAGAGTCAAATTTAAAATTATGATACATGTTGCAGTCTTGGTATCAAAAGGAAACAGGGATACATTAAATACAGATCTGATTTAAGAGATCAGAGAGATGTGAATCTCACAGGCAGATTCCCATACACAGAGCCTCTGAAGCCAATGCAGCTGGACAGTATTACTTGTGTTGCCCTTATCAAGCTCTGGCAGACATTTGCACCTCAAAAGGCTCATTACCACAAGATCAGAATCACAGTTCCTCATGCAATGACAAAGTACCTGGTGCGCCAGAAAACAGGGCATAACACTGGCAATGTGCAAGGCAGAAAAAAATGCAAGGTTGAAAATGAGAGGCCAGACTGTGTAAAGCATCTAAATTGCAAAATCCAGTCCAGTTCCTAGCAGGTGTCTGTGGAGTAGCCTGAAAGTGCAAGCTCTAGATTCTGTGTTGTTCTTTGCCTGGCCAGTCTCCATGAGCTGATTTGGAGAGGTGTAAAAGCCACTTGAAATCAGCTGAGAACACCTGTCTCAGGGCCTCCGAGAGGGCAGCTGGACGTGGCCATGCACTGGCCCCTGCAGCCCCCCACATCTCTGACCACCCAGATTCACTCTTCCCTCACACTTCCACGGCCAGGAAGGGGACTAGTGACACACAGACCTCCTGAACCTCTTACAGGAACCTGGTGTAACACAGAGCCCCAGGAGCAGTGAAACACTAAGAACTGACACTACAGCAGTTTCATCTGATCTGGTAAGAAGCCTCCATCGCTATCAACAGAAAATTGCAGATTGATTTTACTCACAAATGTATGACAGCAGTTACCGTCCAACGCTGGCATTCACAAATGCGGGCACAGCAAAATATTAAAAGGAAGTCACAGCAAAACAATAAACAATCAAAAATACAACTCATAACTGTTAGGCAAGGCTACAGCAATGCTCTTAGACTGGTACCTTCTTTGACACTGAGATTAGATAGACAAGTTGAAAAGTATTTTGAATTTAGATCTTTGTAATTGCATCATAATTACAGTGTTCTGGATAACAAAATAAGGTTTTGTAAACCAGGTATCTTATTCATCTGAAAAGGAATACATCCTTTATCTGACATGGACAGTTGGTGTTGCCTTTCCTGGTATAGATGTCTTGTTTGATGGAAAACATTCATTTTAAATATGTAAATGCAACTGATCCTGGGGAAAAAAAAATTATAAACCATTAGTAGAAATACACTGCATTGCCCTTAAAAACTGCACTTTTGATACACATATTTCATGCTGGTTTGACCAGTACTCTTCTTACAGTGTAAAATGTATTAGTGTGAAATGTATTAATTGATGTGGAGTCCTCTTTCCTCATTCTGCAACAATTTGTGTCTATTAAAACATTGGTTGAATCCAAAGAAATGAGTTGATTCTCTCTCAAGGTCTGAACCTGTTCTGTTTTGTTACAGAAACTTTAAAAGGGCTCTCTTGTTTAGCTTGAGAGGTGAGTGCTACATCATAAAAATACTTGCCAGCCAACTTCCAAATTCAAACACTTGATTTTTCAGAGGTTTCTGGTTGGCAAGATTATGACATTTAGTAGCAACAAATAATCCCTTGGGTGAGTTATTCCATCCATGACTCCTGCAGGGTTTCTGCAGCTCCCTCTGCTGCAGCTGAACATGAGTGGGATCACCACTCAAAATCTTTCACAGAACACACCTCAGAAAGACACTTAACTCTGGGTATTCAAGTTCCCTCTCTGAAGGTGAGAAAAACTGAAAACTCTACGCTTCACAGCTGAAATCTGGCAGGATCAGAGCCCAGCCCTGGAACCTCTGTCCATAGGAATCCTGACAGTGTGCAAATGTGAGTGCACCTGCTTGAATGGTGACTGAGCATCTCAAGTGTGAGAACACTAAATCAGGAGTCAGGTTCACAAGCATCAGACATGAATTGCTCCAGTGAAACCACAGTGGTTGGTGTTACCCCAGGAGCAGGTGGTGTCAGCACCTGAAGTACATCTCTGTGTGTACACACAGGGCAGCCTCTCCAACAACAGCCATCACAACACACTCTTTAGGACTGCAAGGCATTACAGAGTTCTGTCACTGTACAAATGACACAACTTGCACACCTCCTCAGGTACCACAGCACTTTTCCAAAGGGTACTGAAAACGAATACAAGAAGCAGCATTTTTAATTATGGTTCCATGGACTGGTGCAGCTCACAAACCCTGGAAAACACAGGACAGCCATTTCAGTACTTTTGGGAAAACTGATTTTCACTGATCTGACTGGGAAGCCCTGATTAGAGATAGTAATATCCTTATCATTTTGAAAAATCAGAATTAAAATACAAAATACTTCATGTTAATGTAAGCACCTTTTCCATTTTATCTACTTGTTTCAACATTAAAATCTTTTAGAAAACTTAGCTGCGGCCACTTTAGAGGCACTGCCTTCGCAGCTGGGTGTGTCCACAGTTCTGATCATACCTTTACATTGGCAAATACGATCTAAGAGCCCAAACTAGAAATCGGACTCAAGCCCCACCTTTGCAAATGTAACTAGACAAGTTCACTAACACTGTCTGAAAACAAAGTGTAGTCAGCCTTTGTTCATTTATTGTATGCTTTTTCTGAATTATTGCCACTTTGTAATAACATCCAGCAGCAGCACTGGCACACGGCACCTTCTTTAAGTCAGGCTTTTATAATCAAAGTTGTCAATAAAAAGCCTGAAGCTGGTTAGTAAGATACAGGGTTCTTCTTTTGAGTAATGTCAGTGACTGTGTAACTCCAAGTATCAAAGAGATGTTTTACAAAAAAATGAAGGCAAGTGTTTTACATCAAATCTTACAAAACTGTACATAATAAGTCTGCAACATGAAAATGGCCATTAAACTGTTGTAATAGTTATGAAATGTAGTAAGTGTAACAATTTGAATGTTTCATATATTTATCATATTAATCACTGTATTCAACAGTTGTGTTTGTATACATATATTCAATGGCACTGTAAACAGTTGTTGGAAAACACACATTAACTCTTAACCCATTAGAAGTTATTATAGTACTTTTTCATCTGAAAACTTAAAACACATCAATGTATCATTGATTAGAAAACAAAGCCTTGTAATATAATAATGCACATTTGACATTTTCTAAGGTAGCAATCAAGATGAGGCAAAACAGAGAATGTTCTAGATTTCAGTGTGTTTTACATTTACACCTAACGTGATACAAAATTTTAAACATTAAATGTAATTAAATAATACATAGTTTATGAAACAGTTGATTTCAGGGACCCATACTGCACAAAATCTAGTTAGAGTCTAATGGGAGTTCCCAATAATTTATATCGCTGGGATCTTTATGGAAAACTTGAGTTGGTATGTAACATCATATAGGCAAAGTAAGTTTGAACTGAATTACCTTTTTTTTTCCTCTGTACAGAGCTGCATTCAAGTGGATAAAACATTATTATGTTTATTTATGTTTCTGGACATTCATCCAATAAGCCTTGAACATATGCTTAAGCATTTGTTAATGACATTTTGTGGGGCAGGGAAACTCCCTATCTATATCCCTCAGTAAACAAAGTGGTTCTATTTTTTTTCCATAATTAAGGCAACTATACTGATATATTAGACACACCATACACTTTTATGTTGCTTCCTACAATCTAAATAGTAAGAGTGAAAAGAAGTTTCAAACATGCTTTGAACTTCTTGATCACTCAGGAATTTCATCAAGCTGGTAGAGAGTACTTCACCTGCTCTAGTGGGAGATGTTGCTGCTCATAGCAGGGGTATTGGGACTAGATGATCTTTAAGGTCCATTCCAACCCCTTAACATTCTATGAACTGTAGACACAGCTTGTTAGCTGTTCACTGAAAACATAAAGTATGGATTGGCTTGAATTTGAAGACTGACCATTCATATAACTTATCAGAAAAATTAAACAAACAAAAACAGCCAGTCAAATTCTAGCAAATGAAATCGATAAAAGCAGTAACACACCCATACATAGTTTCTGTGTTTTCCATTACTTCTACCCCATAACTTAAGCTACTCAGATCCTTATCACCATCCCCTCTGTATCTTGGGTGGGCTTTGCCAAAGGCTATCTCCAGATATTGTAAGTGATGACACTTGGTATCTGCCAACTCCAGCACAGCATTTCATATTTATTCTAACATACCACATAAACTAGAGAACCATTTAGTTTTGTTTTCTGTTGGGTAAGGCTGCAGGTATAAATGACAGTGAACAGAAGCAGTAGCACAATGGCTGCAAGGCAACACAGCTACAGCAGACAATGCCACAGAACTGCCAGTGCTGCTAAAACAAGGGAGGGGCTCAGGGCTGGGCTGCTCCCACTTCCATTTACACTGTGTTTGGAGGATGACTTGACAGTGCTTCTGGTGGTTGTAGTGTCAATCTTTTTCACAGTCGGTTTTGGTTCGTTTCTGTTCTCTGGATGGGTTTTCTTGTCCTTGAGTATATCTGAAAATGCGAAAGTAAATGTAAGATTAATCACAAATCTTTTAAACAGGGGCTTTAAGTTCTGTTGCTGGAACATGTTGTATACTCACTCTGAACAACTGAAATGTGTATAGAGAGTGATGGGGCACTTGCACTAATGTTGCATTTGGACCCAGTGTGGCTCCTCTGTCCTCAGCACCCACCACTCTGCTCAACAAGTCTTCTCTGACTGCCCGGGTCTACTTGGCTACGCACAGACACTGCCTGAGCAGAATAACAGGTATTCTGCATTGCAGTGGCTGCTCTCAGAGCCTGACCTTCTCCCACAAAAAGTACCTTCGGTTTCACCTGGGATGGGAACTGTCTCATGCTTTAAAACACCATGTTACAACTGAGTGGTTTAGTAACAGATCCCAGTGAAGCAACCGCCAAGCTGGTGAGATGGTGCCGGAGGAGACTGGAAAGCACATGGACTTAATAGAATCATAGAATGGTTTGGGTTGGAAGGGACCTTAAAGATCTTCTAGTTCCAACACCCTGCCACGGGCAGAGGTGCCAGCTGCTATCCCAGGTTGCTCTGAGCCCCATCCAACATTGCTTTGGAACACTTACAGGGATGGGGCAGCCACAGCTTCTCTGGGCAACCTATTAGGGTGCCTCAGCACCCTCTGAGTAAAGAACTTCTTCCTAGGATCTAAACTAATCTTTCCTCTTTTTGTTTCAAATCATTACCCCTTGCCCTATCTGCCCGTGTAAAGAGTTGCTCCCCCTCCTTTTTGTAAGTCCCCTTCCAGATGCATTTTGGGGCAATTCCACCCATTTTTATATAAAAGACTGGATTCAGAAGAAAGTAGGAGTAGTTCTTTATTGTAAAAACATGGTTTTTTTTTCTTTAATGACAAAAGGATCAGTCTCCAGTTATCTAAACATTCCCAAGCTATTTGCAAGTATTGCTGAGATCATATTGCCCTTGAACCCTCTCACTGGCATTGTGGAGAATGAAAAAAACCCACTATATCATCTGCTGAAGGGATGATGATTTTACAGTCAGTCTGTAAAAACACACCTGAGTTTTTGGCAAAAAACAAATGCCTACCTGGAAGAATTTATAATTAACAATAAATGTTCAAGTCTGAGCTTAAAGGATTTCTGATACTAATGAAAGCAGTGCACATACACAAGAAAGCAAAAGGCATAGATTTGTAATGCAGATGAAAAAACAGTCCAATCTTAAAATAAAAACTCTGAATCACAGAAGCAAGTTCCTGGCAGAAATTGGAAAGATGGAAAGTACTCCAGAAATGTAAATGCAATCTGAGATCATTGTCTGCATGTCACTAGTTCTGAACAACCATCAATAAATTCACTTGATAATAAAAATGAGCTATTGTATTGGGAAAGCACACATTGTTCTTCTGCCAGAATAAATTGCAAAAGAAATGCAATGGATTCCTCCATTTTATCATAATATCAACATTAATCCCAGACGAATGTGTGATTCCTAGACCTCACTCAAGAGGGACTGCAGGGAAGGGACACTGGCTGGCAAGGGATACAGTGAAAAAAGGGTAGTCTGACAGCGCACTCCAAATTCCTTATGGCAAAACGTGTCCCTAGCTCCTCTTTGATTCCAACCTGCAATGGATGTAACAGAAAGGAGGGGGAGGAAAAAGCATGCTCCAAATGTTTAGAAAATATCAGTATTCTGAGGACATTTAAGGAAAAATGGACAACCTTCAGACTGTCATTAAAGTAAATTAAGAATAAATCATGGAAATAGGTGTGTTCTGACACTGCCTAGAGTCCTTTCTATCACTGTCATTCTCCTTTGCAACTGCAGTAAAGGTGCTATTTCTCTGCTGCCTCTTATATCATCCTAGCCTGCTGACTTCAGCTCTCTGGGGCCAGCTGATTAAATTAAGACCTCACTCAGGTAAATCTATTCCCCTCTTTGGGCTGGCCATGTCCAGCATTGTAACTTGATTGGCATCTATAAATCGGGCAGACTGAAATGTATTAATTTGTTTATTTTCTTACTATTGACTTAACAAAAAATCCAAGGTAAGATTTAATGCTATCAGAGAGGCTGTTGGTTTTTAAAAGCTTTCCTCTCAGTGACTGCTTAATGCACTGCATAACAAGTGTTAAATAATACATTAGAAAACTCTGCCTTTATCTTTTCCAGGGAAAGGACCACATTCTGAATTCTCTCTCTGTCTTCACAGCAGAGTATCTTCCGATGCTATTCATGGCCAATTCTAATCTGGCATCTAATTGTGCAAACCTGGAATTTTATTTAAAATGTTCTGTTTTCTCCTTTCTTAAAACTAAATAAAAATAGCCCAACTTCTAGTCAAAATCTTTTTCAATCCTATATTTATTTTTTAAGGCCCAAATTTTAGCAGTGTAAAGAATTCCAGTTTCCTCAGAGTTCCTGTTGCTTACTCACTCCAGGATTTTGGCTGAGAAACTCTGAGTTAAATGAGTTTTTCCCCTTAAATCTTTTTCTGAGTCAGATATAGGTAAAGTTCAGTCTACTGCTGACATTCAGAAGGCAAAAAATAGTGATCATGCTGGGAAAAAATAAAGTGTCAGTGTGACGACTAGCACAGAAATGAAACTCCAGTCTCAACAAAGCGAACCCCAGATGTTCAGCACTCATGAATGCAGCCCAGAGAGTATGACTTCATAGAAACAACCAACCAAATCCCACAGCTTTGGTTTGTCCTAGTATTTACTTTCTGCATTTTAAAGGCTTTATGGTTCCCAATTAGAAGCTTTCTCCATAGCTAGAAACTTCCTTTCACCATCAGTCCCTCTCTCCTTCCCAGAAATGGAGTGGTTAAAATCTCTGAAGGCGCCAGCTAACCTCAGGCTGACACATGTGATGGCCTTTTGGATGCTGGTAGATGAATATTATTCTATGCTGTTTATTTATCACTGCAATGTGATGGTGACACAGCCACTGCAGTAGCTACTGTGCTGTTCCTCATCCAGGCTCCCAGTGCGAATATTCAAATCCTGCCAAAAAGGATACTTAGTGAAGGCAGCTGACTGCCAAAGCAGCCTTTCGGGACTCTTGCCGAGGACAAGGTCTGTTGAGTCAGAGTTCCTCCAGGCCCCGTGATTACTCTGAGCACAGGGAACAACAGCTCAGCTAGTCCAGGGGATTGAGTCCACTTCCTCAGCTGAACTTTCATCTGTGTTAACTGCTGTTAAACTAATAACTTGACGGTATAAACAAAGCACATAATGAAAATTACTTGACCCTGCTGTTTAGAGCATTCAGGATTATCTTCACCTCAAAGATCTAACCACAGATTGCTACCCAGTAATGCATGTGCTGTTCTGACGGCACTAAACTACTCATAAATACTTACATGGATCAATACCATTCCTCTGAGAGGCCAGCTTAGGATGAAAGGGAGATCAAAACTGTCACTGTCATCTAATTTAGGAACAGGAAACCTCCCCTATAGTGAGGGCTGAGCATGCCTTTCAAATGCATTTGGTGAGTCCTACGTTAAAGCACACCTTAATCTTAGCCAGTAATGTTACAGGGGTGAAACAACGTGATTATTTTTTAGATTATTACCAGGTTATCTGACACAAGTTCAAGTCATATTGACACCCCAGTTGTTAGCTCCCCCCTCCTAGGCCAAATGATTTGCAGTTTGCTACTGCTAGGAATTATCAAATATGTAACTATTTCTTGGTGTACTTGCATACTGCTGCTCTCTAAGGAACAGTATCAGCAAGGTCTGCTTTAAACTATTTATGTTTCTGATGGTCCTGCCAAGGGATGACCAAATTCAGCTACTTAACAGAAACCTCTTTCCATTGCTGTCCTTCTCTTGATCTGACTTGAGTTCAGCCCTTTCCCTGGGACTGTAAACAATCAGTGTGAGGGAGCCTTTCCCTGCAAAGATCTGCCAGTGCCACTGGACCCTCCTCATCTCCTGAGACATGCCCAGCACTGTCTCCATTGAGATGAAACATAAATGCAAAGACTCCCTCCCTGCTGCAGACAGAGAAAGTACTTGTGGAGCAAAGGAAAAGAGCAGGAAGGGAAGGGCAGGTGAATTGGCTGATCTCCCACCGAGGAAGCGGGATCAGTTTTGGAGAAACCTGTGTTTGAGCTGTCCCAGCACCCTTAAGATCCAGCCCTTGTTGCCCTCCCCGTCACACCGAGCAGAGGGTCTCTGGCAGACCCTGCTTTGTAGAGCAGTGCCAAGGCACCAGTGCCTGGGGAAGAACCTGCTGGGGCCCCAGTACTTGCTCCTCCACCACTGCCATTGTCACTGACCAACAGCTCTGCTGCCTGCATCCATCTAAGGCTACAGACCTTCTTACCAGACAAGTGTACAGCCCCTGCCAGGGGATGCTGAATAAAAACAAACCAGAGAGGTCTGCCCGACTAGTCTTGTAAATGTAAATTACAGCAGCCTGGTTTCTAATGGAGTGGCGCACTGACAGCAGCAAATCCATGCTCATCAATCCACCATGCCCATATCAAAGTGGGGATTCTGAACACGTTTCCATCAGTTTTACACCACGAGCTGCTAGGGAGATCTTCCAACCCAGCTATTTGGGGAGACGAAAGAAGGGGAGATTGTTTATTTCTGCTTTCCCACATTAATTACATCAAGTCAGGCCTGTCTATTTCTTCCTAGACTTTCATGCAAACACCGTGCTTTGAAAAGACAGAATGTCAGCATCTACGATAGCAAATTAATGCCTTGGTCTTGAATGCCTAATCATGGTTGTAATGATACTCATAATGCAGGTCTAAAGTGAACTGGTCAGCACCTGCAGTTCTCTCCACACTGGAACTCAGTTGCTTGATAAATTTCCCTTCGATCACAGGCTTGGGTTTGGCTGACAGCTTCATAAGAGAATTAAAGCTAGGTGCAACTTGGTGGAACAGGCTCTTAAATTACAGTAGATGCTGCAGTGTTATTATTAGCTTTTTATCACCTCTGGTAGCAAAAGCTGAAATTACTTTTACATATTCAAAGGAA